TCCTCCTCCTTCTCATCCTCCTCCTCCGCCTTCTCCTCCTCCTCATCATCATCATCTTCAGCATCATCATCGTTATCGTCATCATCGTCATCATCATCAGCAGCAGCATCATTAGCATCAGCATCAGCGTCAACATCATCATCAGTATCATCATCATCAGTATTATCATTATCAACATCATCATCATCAGCAGCAGCATCATCGTCGTCGTCATCATCAACATCATCATCATCACCACCACCACCACCATCATCATCATCATCAGCATCATCATCATCATCTAGTCAATATCCTCCTCCTTCTCCTTGTCCTCCTCCTCCATCTCCTCCTCCTCTTCTCCGGCCGCCCATCCCAAAACCTTCATCCTGTTCGAAACTCATCTTCCTGATTACTTCTCCTCCCCTCTCCTCCTGCTCCCTCTCCCCGCCATCCCCCTCTTCCTCTGGTCCTCCTCCCCTCTCTTCCTCTTCCTCCACCACCTCCCTCCCTCCCCCTCCTCCTCTGGTCCTCCTTCTCTCCCTCCTCCTCCCCCTCCGCCCACTCTTCCTCCTCCTCATCCCTCCTCCTCCTCGTACTCTTCCACCCTGGACTCCATCAGGGCGGGCAGAGAGACGCGGCGCAACTCGTCGTTGATGCTAGCTGGGTGGCCGATGCGCACAGCGTTCACCCCGCGCTCGAGGAGCCTGGGCCGTCGTCGTCCTCGTCTTGGGGGCTTCTTGGGCGCGCTTCTGACCTCGAGAGGCCCTCGGAAGCCTCCGAGTACCTCGGGAGGCCTCCAGAGATCGCGTTCGGGGACCTGGGGGGCCTCCAAAGTCCTCTGGAGGCCCCAGGCCTCTGGCGACACGGAAACATCGCGCCGGAGGCTTCTCGCTGATCGCTTGGTGTCTGGTGGCCGCTTCTCGGCCTTGGGGGCAATCTATGTTGCGCAATCTATGCTGTGCAACCTGTGTTGTGCAATCTATGTGGTGCAGCCTGTCTCGTACCATCTAGGCGGTGCAATCTATGTTGTGCTGGAGGGGTGGTGCGGCCAAGGCGGCGAAGCCACAAGAGGGGACTGCTCCGCGCGGGCCCGCCAGGCTGAGCTCCTCCAGAGCCGGTCTGCGTCGGCAGACGGCCGGGGACGCCTGCAGAGCGCGTCGCGGCGGCGACCCCGGCGACACGCTACCCTTTGCAAGCTGATAGCGAGTCGCTCTTTTCTGCGGGGCGGAAGACTCGGGACGGTTCGGGACATCGACGCTCGGGGACCGGGACGTGGATAGCGCGTCGCGCCGCGGCGTGGGCCAGAACTGGCGGCGCGACACGCTAACTCCAAATTCCCGACCGTAAGTGGAGTGGAGGACAGAAGTGAAGAGGAGAAAGGGGGGGAGACCAGGAGGAGAAGGAGAAGGAGGAGGAGGAGGAGGACGACGACGACAATGACAACGGGGATCAGAGACAACGCAGGATGCATCAACGATGCTGGAATGCCCCCTTCCGTCCCGCTCCATCCGTCCAGCTGTTGCTGCGGAGCACACGCCGTGATCCTCACAAGCGATAGGCTCGTTGCGCACTCAGATGCGACGCCATCCGTTCAGCTATTGCTCATCTGTCGGTTTTCTGAGAGAAACATCCGAACATCCTGAACGAAAGCCCCAGTGTGAGAAAAACACGCCATCCATCTGCGCAAGAAGAATCCTCGCGAGCGCCCAGGAGAGAGACACACTTTCAAACTTAAGAAAAACACCCGCCAGCCGTCTGTGAAATGGTTGGGAATGCCAAGTTCTAGGACCGCAAGCGGCGAGGAACCCCCAAGCGGAACGCCTGGCCCGCGCTACTGACACGTCTGGTGGTGCAGCGAGGAGGAGCTGCTTACAGGGGAGAAGGATGGAGACGGAGGAAAGGAGGACAACGACGACGACGACGACGACGACGACGACGACGACGAGCAATACGAGAAAGACGAGGGGAATATTGCTGCATACGGCGCGATGCGAGCGGATCCGCTGGAGTCTCCTCACCTGACGCTCCGACCTCGGAACGCATTCCGACAGCACGGCCCGACGGGGCGGAATGCATCCCCAAAGCACATGGCCGCTGGTGCTCTGCTCGCGATGTACTAGGCCACATGCGAATCCTACCACACCACACCACGATTTCTAAGGGGGGAGGTGGGGTTCAATTCGCTCGGGAGGTTCCGAACGAAGTAAGCCCCACCCACCCCTTAGAAATCGTGGGGTGGTGGGGTAGGGTTCGCATGTGGCCTCCTACGATTCCTTGCCTCCCAGGAGAGCCCTGCCAGCAGCTGGTCCACCGCCACGTGCGAGTCCGCGGTGGCCAGCAGTGGGCCCTCGCCGATGCACATGCTCTGCAGCACCGAGCACGCCGTGTAGGTCTTCCCACAGCCAGGGGGGCCCTGGATGAGGGTGATGCGCCTGTGCCTTGGAATGCGAGGCTCTCCTCGCATGCTCTTTCACATCTCTGCTAGCTGACACCGCTGCTCCAGATCCGCCACCGTGCCCCTTGGCAGGCTGATGCCAAGTCCTCTGTGGTGGGTCTCTGCGGGTCTCCTCAGGGACCCTGCCTGCCTGCCCTTCGCGCTCGGCGGGCGTGCGCGAGCGAGCGGCGGGCGGGAGGAGGTGGCGGCAGCCGGAGCCCCCGCAGCGAAGGCGGCGGCGGGCAGGCGGGCAGCCAGCAGGGGCCATCCTCTCCGCTCCCCGCTCGACCCTGCGCGTCTCCCGATCCCTGCCCCGAGACGCCCTGGGCGGCCCGACGCCTCCCTGGGGAGGTCCCGATCTGGCCTCCAAGACACCCCAAAGACGCTCTCCAGAAGCCCCTCGAGAAGCCAAAATTTTGACTTGCACATGTGTTTTCCTGTGCTTTGCTTTCCGCGCTCTCCGTTCGAAGAGGGCCCCAAGACGGCCCAGGAGGGTCCCAATGGCCCCCCAAGACAACCTCAAGACGGCACAACTAGTCCCCATGGAAGGTCCTCAAGAAGAAGAGGCGAGATGTGCCTCGTGCGACGGCGTTCTGAGAGGTGCTCGGGGGAGTAGCCACGCAGATAGCATCGCTTGAACGGTGGCGGACTTGCCGCCGGCACCAAGCAGACGGCTCACACCACTGCTCAAAAGGAAGCGCGGTGCCCCTGTCTGCCTGGCGGCAGAGAGCGTGCCGACGCCTCGAAGGCGGCGGACGCCTGCTCTGGGCGAGGACACACGCTGACCCTCAGGCGAATGCCGATGCTACGGTGAGGGGTGAGGGCACGTGATGAGGAGCCCTCGGACATTGAATCCAGGGACTGGAAGCTGGTGGAACACCAGTCGAGGCCTGGACAGGGACATCACCGCCCCGCCCATCAGAGAAGGCATCCGGGGTCCGAAGCCTCCTGGGCACACTCCGCAACGAGCGGCCCACCGTACGGCCCGAGACGAGCAGACACCCGCGCGGGGCAGCGGGAGGCCGGAGCCCGACGGGAGCTCCCGCCCCCGAGCCCAGGCACGGCAACGCCCCGATCGGCTCGTGCAGGTCAGGCCACCGCACGGCTCAGAGGCCGATCCGGGCCCTCGGAGCACTGCCGCGCCCTCCCCCCGGCCGGGTCGGGCCTCCCCCCTTCGGAGCACTGCCGCAGCCCTGCACTGCTTGTTCGATGCAGGCTGCAGCCTTCCGATCCGCCACCCTTCCCACTTCCTGTCCCTTCGCAACCCTCCTGCTGTGGCTCCTGAATCGGGGGAGATACCACCCCCCCCCTGGCCCCTGGTCATCACCCCCCCCCTCTTTGCCGCCCCTGACCCCTCCCACCCGGTGGAGACGGGGCCGGGACAATGCGCAGCAGGCCCAGCTGCAGCTCCTGCGCGCGCCTGCAGCGGGGGCCTGCGAGAGCCAGCGGGGGCCTCACCAAGGGGGCGCGGGGCGGCCGCTCCAGAGAGCGCCCCACGGAGCAGTCTCACGGGTGCTGCCGACGGCCAGGCCCCCGACGGTCGCGACTCTCTCAGAAGATGGACCTTCGGACGTCGTCGACCCACTCCCTGGGACCCGCTTCTCATCCTGCGCACGACCTCAGCAGTTTCTTGGGGTGGAGGGCTCAGAGTGAAATCCACATGGGCCCCTGCACCTCGAGAAAACCAGCCCGTCTCGTGATTCACCCTTTGCCGATTCGGGCGTCGAACATGCCTCGAAAGGGCATTTCAGATGTCATCTTCTGCCCTCCACCCGAAGGAAAATGCTCGAACGACCACCGTGCACGTCACGTGTGGCTCACCTCGGCGGCACGGGTGGGCACATGGTCCCGCGGGCGGAGGCTCTACGCGGTGCTCGTCAAGGCTCGAGAGCGGAAGTCCCGAGGGGCTTCTCGTCGCAGACAGGGCCCCGCAAGCCATCGCGCACGCCGTGCTCGCTGCCCAGACATGAGCAGCCTCTGGCTGCTGCGTCGCTGCCGCGTCCGCGACGACCAACAAAGCACATCGGAATGCATCGCACGATGGAACAGCGCATGCCACCTGCAACTGCTGCGCACTCAAGAAGGCGACAGGTCAGGGGCAATGTACAAGTTGTCATGATCCTCCTCCTCCTCCTCCTCCTCCTCCTCCTCCTCCTCCTCCTCCTCCTCCTCCTCCTCCTCCTCCTCCTCCTCCTCCTCCTCGGCGGCTCCCTGCGCGGCCCCCTTCGCCCCCCCGCAGCCATTTTGCCCGCGGGGGCGCGGCGGCCCGCCTGTGGGAGCCCCCAGCCCCAGGTGCTTCTCGCCTGGCGCGTCCCTGGCGAAGGGTGCTTGTGCCGCCTTGCCCCCTGCGGCGAGCGTGACCTCATCCTCTGCCCGACGACGACGGCGCGCCGCGGTCACCGCAATTCGGCGCGCGCAGCGAGCGTCCTGCGCTCTCTCCGCAGCGATTATGGCGGGCCCGTCGGTGCGATCGGCGCAGCCACCCACTGTGCGCACCGCTCTCCTGCCGGCGGCGGCTGGCGCGCGACTGGCAGGTCAGCTCATATCGACTTGCATAGGCGGCGTGGCGGCGGATCGCATGACCAAGCATCAGCCTGCTGGGCTTCGTCCCGTTCCTGGACCCCGTGGTCGCCGGTTTCATGGAGTCTCGGTGGCAGCTGATGCTCTCCTTCGACATGGAGGTTCTGGCGGCGCGGCTGCGCCTCGCGCGGCCCCTCTGCTGCCCGCTGGGTCCCGACCTGTCCCGGGACCCCAAGGTCGCCTCTTCCTTGAAGTCTCTGCCGTGCGTGATGGGGCTCTACGTTGCGAAGATGGTCGTCCGCCCCGTGGATGTGGTGGTCGCCCTGGTGTTCCTCGTCCTATCCCTGGGCCTCTCGGGCGTGTGTTTCAGGGCGTGACTGCTGCTGGACCTGACGCTCGCGATCATGGCCTTCGTCGCGGCGGTGATGCGGTGGTTCCTTGCTCGCTGCGGGACGGCGCTGTCTCTGCTGCGCGTGATGAGGTTGGTGCTCTGCATCGTCGTGGCGGTCCTGGCGGTGCGGCTGCGCCTTCTGCGGCCCCTCATCACATCGCTGGGCCACGTCCCGTGCCTGGACCTCGTGGTCGCCCGTTCTCTGGATTGGTTGCCGTGCGAGCTGGAGTTCTGCCTTGCGATGGTGATCTTCGCCGCAGTGGTCTCGGACGTGGTGATGGGCCTTCTCTCCGCCCCATTCCTGGGCCTCGCGGGCGCGTGTTCTCGGGCACGTCTGCTGATGGGCCTGGCGCTCATGCTCGTGGTCTTCGTCGCGGAGGCGCTGCTGTGGATTCCTGTTCGCTTCGGGACGGCACTGGAGCAGACGATCAACCCGCATCCTCACTCTTCGACTTCGCCGCCCTGGAAAGGGCTTGGGAGGCGGCTGCGAACGAGATCATCGGGCTCATAGCGCACACTTCGGATGAGAACGACCTGGCCGCTGTCTCTGATGCATCGCACGTTAGAGAATTTGCGCCTGTTCTCTCTCGGTCTCGAGGGAGTGGCTTCGGTGGTCTTTCCGCGTCTTGCGGAAGGCACGGCCTGGAGGATAGCACGAGCTGTGCAGTCCCAGGTGACGCCACATACCTCCTTCAGGGAGTGGCTTCGGTGGACTCCCCTTGCACTAAGGGGGGCACAGCCTGGAGGGTAGCGCCCAGCACCGCCCCAGATGGTGCCGCACACCCGAATGCTCTTGGCTGACCCGTGTGCCAGAGCTGTTTTTCTCTCCTTGTGCCCGCGCCTCGCCCCGTGATCCTTTCGGTGGGGGCGTGGCGGCTGTCGGGCTCGCGGGAGCGGGCTTGCCCCCTCTCATTCTTTCGTGGGCGTCTGGCGCACCCCAGGTAGTGCCGTATCCTCCTCCTCCTCCTCCTCCTCCTCCTCCTCCTCCTCCTCCTCCGTCTCCCTCTTCCCCCCTCGCCTCCCCTTCACCCCCGTCTCTCCTCCCCGATGCAAGGTTGGAGCAAAGAAGGTTCAACATGCCGATGGCCACGCGTGGCCGTGTACGGGGGCAGCTGGCGCCCCCCGAGGCTCAAGAGCGTCGAGCGACGACGGACCGGATGGCAACACACTCTCCGCGACCTCCGCGGCATCCGCACCATATGCGACGACCGAGGTCCGATGATCGAGCTCTGGAAATCGATGTGTTTCGCTGATCTTCGCCCTGTCAGTGTTTCTTGGGGCGCCCTCGTGGCAATGTCTGGATCCCAGTCCAGATCATGGACAGAACGCAACTCTGGACAGGTCCAAAAGTCGATGATTGATCCCTGCGCCCAGACCCATCTGCGTCGTGCACGAATCACGACTTGGAGGGGGGGCTTCCCGAGATCGCGTAAACACGAGGCAGGATGAAACGCCACCCCTGGGAAGGTGCCGAAATATCCGAGGGCCCACGCTTGAACAGAAATACTACGTATGTCTCTGGGGGTTGCTTATCGCGTCACGGCGCTAGCCCCTACGACACGCTACGCCTCGCAAACTGACAACGCGTCGCACTGCTTCGCGGGACGGGACAATGGGAAAAGCCCAGAACGCCTATGCTTGGGGACTGGGGCGTGCTCAGCGTGTCGCGCCGAAGCGCGGTGGAACAGAACCGGCGGCGCGACACTCTGAGCCCTCTGGGGGGGCGGGGGGAGGAGGAGGAGGAGGAGGAGGAGGAGGAGGAGGAGGAGGAGGAGGAGGAGGAGGAGGAGGAGAGGAGGAGGAGGAGGAGGAGACGGAGGAGGAGGACGAGGAGGAGGAGGAGGAGGGGGAGGAGAAGAGGAGGAGGGAGGAGGAGGAGGAGGAATAGAGGAGGAGGAGGAGGAGAGGAGGAGGAGGAGGAGATAGCAGGAGGAGGAGGAGGAGGAGGAGGAGGAGGAGGAGGAGGAGGAGGAGGAGAAGGAAGAGGAGGAGGAGGAGGAGGAGGAGGAGGAGGAGGAGGAGAAGGGGAGGGGAAACAGCGGAAGCGGAAGGCAGGAGCGGCCGGCAGCAGACGAGGGAGCAGCGGGCGGGCCATCCTCATCCTCATCCTCCTCGCCGGCCTCCCTCCCTACCCCTGGTCCGCCTGCTTCCCCTCCTCCTCGTCCTCTCCTTCGTCCTCCTCGCACTCGTCCTCGCCGTCGTCCTCCTCCTGCTCCACCTCCTCTTCCAACTTCTCCTTCTCCTCATTCTCCTCCTCCTTGTTCTGCTTGCTGGCCTCCTGCCCCTCTTCATCCAGCTCCTTCTCGGGGCCCAGCGATGCACAGGCCCTCTGAGGCCTTCACTCGAGCGACTGCACCGCCTCCAGCTGGCTGTCGTTGAGACTGTCGTGGGTCTGGTCGTTCAGGCGCGGTGGGTCGGTCAGGGTATTCAGCTCCTCTGCGGTTGGCTGCGCGCCCAGGGGGGAAGCACACCATTTGATAGGAAACGACCATGCGCATCTACACATGGCGCGAGAGAAATTCTCATAATCAAAAGAGAAATAATATTTGAACGCTCTTCAACTTGACTCGTGTAATTATCGGCTCCTGCGGACCTTCATCGGGCCCTGGGGCAATCAAATCAAAAGACTCGGGACGAAAAGCGGGTCCCGAAGCGGGTCGAAACCTCCAGGTGCCCACGTTTCGAGAAGGTCGAGCAGTCGGGGGCCTGGGGTTTTGGGGGGGGCGGGGCAGGCCCTCTCCGACGGATCAGAAGGCCTCTGACCTTCCGAGGAGCTTGCTGATCCCTCTCTGAAGCCTTTCCCGAAGCCGCAAAGGGCGAGAAGGGAAGAGGAAAGGGGGAGAGGAACAGAATAAGGAGGAAGAGGAGGAGGAGGAAACGGAAGAGGAAAGGGGAAGGGGAAGTGGGGAAAGGGAAGGTGAACGGGCAGGAGAGGGGAAGTGGCCTGGGAAGACAAAGAGGAAGACGACCAGGACGAGGAAAAGGAAGGGCAAGATGAATAGCAAAGACAATGGCAAGGACATGGCAAAGGCGAGAGGAGGAGGAGCCCGAGGAAGAGACTCAAGACCGTGGGAAGGAAGTGGCAAGATTCTATGCCCCGAGCCTCTCTGTTCTCTGTGCCCTCGGGATCGGGGACGATTACCCGCCTCACCTCGTCGCACCAGGCGTGCGGGAACTCCGAGAGTGCCTCGACGGTGCGCTGGTAGACTATTCTGTTAACCCCATTGTCCAGTCTCCAGGTCTTGCCAGGTGGCGGCATGTCCTGCGCAGTCATCATCACCAGCATCACCACTATCATCCTCGTCAGCGTGAGCGCCATAGCAGGTCACCAGCACTACCATCGTCATCATCACCATCGAGATCAGCCCTGGCACTCGGCATCTTCGTCTTCACCATCCTCATCACAACCGTCGTCGCTGCCATAGCCACCAGCATCAGCAACTTCCAAGCCCCATGCTAATCTCAGTATCACGTGGATTGTCACTGTCATGACCTCATGTATCGTAAGCTGTCATCAACATCTCAGAGATCATCGCCATGGCGCCCTTATCGCAAACGTGAAGTGCTGCTGGCTTGCAGAGGCAACATCAAGTACGATCGTCAACGTAACTCGTCACCAGGACAGAGAGGCTAGGCCGCCAGGGATGATGAGGTTAAGAGGTTGGAGTAGGCTGGAAGAAGCACATACGAACTCCGATGGAAGGCCGTGCTGTGCTGAAAACTGGCACGAAATCTTGTTTTCAGGCCAGGAGGCCTCTTAACGTGCACACCGCTCCTAGGTCTAGAGCCTAGGATAGATCTGTCAAGCTCAAGTTCACCGTTGGCTCACAAGTGACATCCCCGGACGTCCTGCATCACGCAGAGAATCATGTCTGGCTGCACGGACACCACCTGGGCCATGATATCCCTTGCCCCGCCACACTCCAGAGCAGAGATGCCAAAAACGACTTACAGTCGGCCCGTATCATAGGGATGCGCGATACGGATGCAAGGGCCTTGGACGCCCATTTCGAAGCTTTTCGAGCGGGGCGCGGCAAACGAAAGTGGCCGAGGATGGACCGCGGAGGCAAGGATGCAAGTGTACCTTTGGGAAGGTTGACCATCCTTGCTATGCGGGCTGACCGTACCAGAAAATAAGCCCTCAACTGGCGAGTTCCACATGGATGGCCAGCAACATCCACTCCCTCGCAAAGGGCATTGGCACGCCGACATCTCAGAAACGGTTCATACCCTCACCCCGACCGTAGCCTGCTTGTTGTTGGGCGGAACTCCTACTCCACGAGTGGCCAGGGGGGCAAGAACAAAGCCGCATTGTCCATGGACAGGCAGGCAGGCAGCCGTAATCGACAGGTTCGGCACTACAACTTGCTCTGATCTGTTGAGGGCTGGGGATTGCATTTTCCACCCGCAAGGTTGAGGCTGGTAGAATTAGCATAGAAACTGCGGACCCGCCCCGCACACCCTGCACACCGCGGCCGCCAGGCCCCACGATTCCCGGCGCTCCCAGAGTAGCCCGCCTCGCGTCTTCGACGAACGACGGCTGCGCGCCGCGGCCGCCGGGCCTCAAGTGGCCCGCTGCTCCATAGCCATCCCGCCTCGCGTTCTCGGGTGGGGGTCGCTCGAGTCTGAACACTTTTTGCCGTGATCTGGCCTCCCCCGTCCTCAGCGGGACACGAGGGGGGGGGGGCGCGGGGGACGGAAAGGGAAGCGCGAAGGGGGAGAAGAAAAGGAGTCTGCAGTGCACTACAACTGTCGGAGTTCCGCGAGGGCTGCCTGGGTCGGCGCTGAGCCCCCTCCCGGGGAGGCGCGGCGCAGCCCGGAGGGCCCAGCGCAAGCCCAAGCATCCTGCGCGGAGCTCCGGAGGCCTTTTCTTGTGGTAGTGCAGCGCTTTCCTCTCCGAGAGGTGCCTGCGCCTGGTAGGCCTCTATCTTGTGCTTCCCCTGCATCTCCGCCATGTCCAGCTCGTTCAGCAGCTCCCAGATGGGCTGCTTCGAGTTCTCCGGGGAGATCAGGACCTCGTCGCCCCGCTGGAACTCGTGCCGCGGCAGTGGCCTGCCCCCCGGGATCGCGAAGCGCACCAGGTTTTCCCCGTAGAAGCGGCCGCCATCTTCCGCCCTGACGCCCGTGACAACCAAGCCGTTCTTCTTCAGCCGCTCCAGCGGCCACTCCGTCAGCCTCTGCCTGACCTTCGGAGGAGGGACAGGGACCGATGCCGCTGCTCATCCATCGTCGCCGCAGCTAGGTTCGCCTGGAAATCCTGGTCGGGACGCACCCCGGGATAAACAAACTGCATAAACATAAACTGTCGGAGCTCCGCGCGGATTTCTTGGATAGGCACTGGCCCCTGTTGGCGACGCCTCCGGCGCCGCCCATGGCGCGCTCCCGCGGCGATCCGAAAAACCCGCGCGGACCTCCGACAACTTAGGCTTCTGTAGTTTTTCTTCTCGCTGCCTATGCCTGACCTGCCGCTCCTCCTCCATGAACTCCATGTCTATCAACTCGCGCAGCTTGTTGGACCACCCCTCAGCCAGCGCCTCCCTCCTCTCGCGTTCTGGCCTTTCCGCCTCGTGCCTCGCCTGCTCCTCGGCGCGCTCCTGTTTCAAGAAGATCCCAATCCCAATCCTCCTCCTGCAACTCCTTCCCCTCCTCCTCCTCCTCCTCCTCCTCCTCCTCCTCCTCCTCCTCCTCATCATCATCATCATCATCATCATCATCATCATCATCATCATCATCATCATCTGCATCATCACCATCATCATCATCATCAGCAGCAGCATCATCATCCTTATGCTCAGCGTCATCATCCTCATCATCCTCATCATTAGCGGCAGCATCATCATCATCATCATCATCATCAGCAGCAGCAGCATCATCATCATCATCATCATCATCATCATCAGCATCAGCATCAGCATCAGCATCAACATCCTCATCGGTATCATCATCACCACCACCATCTTCATCATCATCATCACCATCATCAACATCAGCAGCATCAGCATTATCAACATCATCATCAGCAGCATGATCATGGACACCATTATCACCATCATACGCACGACCATCATAATCATCATCAGCATCATCATCATCACCACCATCATCATCAGCCTCGTCCTCATCCCCATCATCATTGGCATCATCAGCATCATCATCAGCAGCACCATCATCACCATCGCCATGGCCATCACCATCATCACCATCGTCATCATCAGCATCATCATCCTCAGCAGCATCACCACCACAATCACCATCATCATCATCATCAGCAGCAGCACCAGCATCATCAGCATCGTCATCGTCAGCATCATCATAATCGTCATCAACATAATCGTCAGCATCATCCTCATCACCATCATCATCACCATCACTATCATCACCACCATCACCAACAACATCCACATCACTATCGTGGTCCGCATCAGCATCGGCATCGGCATCAGCAGCATATTCTGCATCATCAGCATCGCCATCAGCATCAGCGGAAGTACCATCAAGCTCAGCAGCAACATCATCAGCATCATCATCAGCATCGTCGTCGCCATCATCGTAGTCACTATCATAACCCGCAGCATTATCATCATCAGCAGCGTCATCATCGTCATCATCTCCCCCCTCATCCTCCTCCTGATTCTCCAATCTCTCCATTCAAAGCCAAATCCCCAACCCGCGAACGAGCAAACATCGGGCCCAGTTTATAGAGAGCGACAGCGGGCCTGGGCGAGGTCGGGGCTGCTGGCCTCCCAGCAGCAACCCGACCCAGCCCAAGCTCACGCCAGTCGCTCTAAAGGAAAACTCCGACCAAAACACGCTTTACTGGGCGGGCGCTTGCCTTCGCGGAGCATCTTGAGGCTCCAGGCCGCATCATTATTGCGTGGGTGGCCGATACACTTGGTGATTAAATACTGCGACCTTCCGTTGCTGAAAGCACCGCACTTCCAGCAGGACGAGACCTGTCCACCCCAAATGTACAACCTGTGGGATGGGTGGGCAACGCGGGCTGCCCTGGGCAGCCCGACACACGGAAACGTGCAGACACCTGCTCTACTGCCTGCCTTCCCGCAGCGACCACACTGGTACGTGTACCTGCCCCCTGGGAGACGGGACAGAACCAGCTCATGGCCAAGCGAATCGGGCACCAACTTGAGACCACCTCGGCGCTGTCCTACCTTGGCCCAGACCCTCTCGACACCCGGGAAGCGGAGGCGGGAGAGGGTTTTCATAGTCTCGTGGATCACGCACACGCTGTTGGCGACGAGCTCAGCCTGCTGCGCGTACAACTGCTTGCCACGAGGGTTGCGGGGATGCGCTGCCGCCCCTAAGTTGGCAAGGCGGTCCGCCTCAGGGTTGCCAGCCCACACCCAGTACCTAAAGCCTCGGTCGAGGGCAGCCCGTCGAGACAGATGGCTCTTGACTTTAATGAGGGTGATGTCGTGAATCCCCACGTCCCGTCCCCTAGCAAAGATGTCGCACCTAAGTTCGCTATAGGCAACGTTGGTGAGGTCCTGGGAGGGCCCCTTCTTCCAGATGTCGCAGACCATCTGGCAAGCAGTGATAAACTGGGTAGGGCCTCCTACCGGTCTCAAGGCAGTCAAAATGGCGAAGACCTCACCCCCTCCTGCAGACTGAAGCGGATGGGGGAGGGGTCCAAAAAGCGAGCCCGAAATGTTTCCCCTTTCACCGACGGCCACAACCCCCCACCCCGCACGCGAGCACCAATCGCCGTCTGGGTCCAACGCGGAGACATCCAAACAGGTCTTGCCCGTGCCCAGGAGGCCAGAAGAGGGGGAAAGGGGGGGGGAAACGCTCCAACGCCACCTGGCATCGACCAGCGGAGTGGGCCAGAAGGCAATGGGGAAGAGCCCTCTCGTGAAGCCCGGGTCCTCGTCGCCCGCCTCACGGCCCTTGGCAAAGAAACTGTCCAGGTCGAGGGATTGGCGGAGCCCGATGTTAGCGTCACATCCGTAGAACCTGCGTCGGGGCGTCCCCGTCAAGGCTCCGCGCCACCTGCAGAGGGAAGACAGGCTCGACGTCCTGAAAAAAGTGCTTGCTTCGCGGCAAAGCCACCCGCTACTACTCCAGCAACTAGGGAGGCTTCGAGCCCCTTGATTTTGGCACGCAAGGCCTGCAACTTCCGAACGATCGGTTCCAGCAGCGGGCCAGCGGTCAAACCGTCCACTTCACGCCCGACGTGCTGCAGGAGCGACCCCTGGGTTTCTTGATCGATGATGGCTCGCATGAGGGTGCAAGGATCGACTTCGATTCCACGTTTGGTAACCCAGGGCCGATACCCCAGGACCTTCCACCCGAGCCTCCTCAAGGTACACAGAACGGCCCCCGCGGTTCCAGTAACCTACCCCTAGCCAAACCCAGGGGCGTTGAGGAACGCGTCAACTCTCTTCTTGAGTAAGGCTTCGGGGGCCCAGTCATGGCGCCGATCCCGGCACCAGCTCAGGAGAGGGGCAGAGTTGGCCGAGAAGGCGGGCTCGGATTTGGGGCCCCCGATGGGTTGGTATTCGAGCGTCCTGGACCTTCCCTCGGGGGCCCCGATGATCGCGTGCCGCAGGATCGCGCGAATCTCGGCAAGGCGGGCGTTGGCAATCCCGATCACCGCTCCGCCATAATAAACAGCAGGCGGGCCCCTAGTTTGGGCCACCTGCACGACCCCGCGGAACGCCGAGCAAAGCCCGCGGAACTTACGGATCCTCGGCCTCAAGACGGTCACGCGGCCTCGCTGGACCACAGTGCTCCGCCTGCGCCGTCGGACCGAAAAATCATCACCGAGATTTGTGGTAGCGCTTTTCGTTTTGAAACCCCAATCCTTGATGAAAACCGAAATCGCCTTCCCTGCCCCGCTGTCGGTGGCCACGACCACGCGTTGCCCTTGGAATTGACCAGGCAGAGGCCGTGGAGCTCAAGCGGAAGGCAACGCGCCGAAGCTCCCACTCGCTGACCGAGGTGAGAAAGAGCGCCCATGCCGAACAGCGCGATGGCGCCCACCACGTTAACCACTCTCAAGCTCGGCCAATGGAGGACCATCGCGTCTAGAGGAGTGAGGAAGATGAGTTTCATCAAAGACGTCGCATATCCACATCCTGCGATGATCCCCTGGCCTGCGTAGATCACGCCTGAAGTGATCTGACTCATTAGCAGGAGTTTGGGCGCATGGTAGAGTCGGAGCAAAAACCTCGGGCGAACCAAAGGGAATGCATGCCTCGCGGCCGCACGGGCGGGGAGGATGTGCAAGACCTTTTTTCCATAGGCCTTGGTGAGGCCCAGTGCCGATCCCGACCAGGCAGCCGAACTCGGCGGCTTGCGCTCGCTCCCAGACAGCACGCTCACAGCTACGACCCGCAGGGCCGTAGCAATACGAGCGGCCCTGCCGGGCCCCCCATTCAACCGCTCCATGGCGCGCGGCCTGACCCATGACTCGGCAGATCCCTGGGAGGAGGCAAATGGCGCGAACCCCCCCATCGGGCTTGGGGAGGAGGGCGGTGAAAACCACGGCCAGCTGGATCGGCACATGCCCGAGGCGTTGGCACCAGAGCCAAAGCGCACACAGACCCTCGAAGGCCCCATCAAACACATTGGCAAGGTCTCCCGGGTGGATCCCATCGGACCCGAGCGCCGTGCGCTTCTTAAACTTCCTAGCCGCATTTCTGACCCGGTTGGCGGTCAGCATCGGAAGGGGGCATGCCCGCGGCCATTCCCTCCTCCTGGCGTTGGGCAACATAGTGGTCAAGATAACCGACGGGGTCGGGGAGGTCAGTGCATCCGTTGGGCGGGCTCCAAACTCTTTCCCAGACCTCCTGCAGTTGCCCCATGGGGTTCCAGGGCCAGGAGGAGGCTGACCAGGCTTAATCGCGGCCGACGTCCATCCTGGCGGCGCCTGCGAATACTTGCGTGCTTTCCTCCACCGTTGCCCGCCGCTTCCTTGACCCGATCCCTCCATCGCCCCCCCCCCCCGGTCGGCTTTAAACTTCCCCAGCGCGAGGGCAAGGCGGCTCGCTTCCTCGCGGAGAGTCTGCAGCTCGGCAACAGGGCAAGCAGACAAGGCATCAGAGCTGCCAGGTCTCCATCCTAGCCAATGTGGGTCGCTCCTGAGGTCGGGAGGTCCTTTCCAGATCCTGCCTGTCAACCAGCCGTTGCGACTCAAGCTCTCGCCCGTCCGACTCCTTTTTGTCCGAAGGTAAGTCACCTCCTGCACCCAAACGCTGATTTTGTGCCAAGAACGAGACTGGGGGCATCCGTAAGAAAACGCATCTCCCGAGGTCTGCAGGGCGGGGGCCTGCTTGAGTCGCTTCTGCCGATTCCGACCAAAATAATCCAGGCTCTCAACCTGGTAAATCCCTCCAAGTTCGCACTCAATGTTCCCCGAGGTCTCCAAAGCACCGACCCAGGTCCAGGCGCGACCCCCCCCCCTCCTCCGCACACCTGCAGATGCACGCGCAGTCAGGCGGAGCGGGCGGGGGACCACGCGGCACCTCCAAGGGAAACGCCCGCGACCTCGGGAGGGCCCGAACTTTGTCCAGCAAGGGGTCTCCTCTCAAAAAAATGCCGGCAGGCCAGCGCGGACTCGCAGTCGCGCCAACGTTGCGCTCAACATGGGAAAGCGTCGGCGCCAGAGCTGCCGGACAAACACAATAGTCGAGCGTCTTCCACCTCTGGGCCGTCGAGCGGCATGCGGGGGCAGAGGGGGCCACGATCTGACCTCCAAGCCGCTCGGCCCAACCTGGGCTCCGATGGGCGCGGGGCTCGCAATTCCAGCCCCCCCCCCCGAGGACGAACGGGATACCCCGTTCCTAGAGGGCCTCGCCGAGGCGGGCCAGCAGGCTCCCCCACCCCCCCAACGCCCGCGACCGGTTGTTACTGTGGCCCGTTGGGTGTTGGTGTGGCCTGTTGGGTGTTAGTGTGGCCCGTCGTGCGGCGGGGTGGGAGTTACTGTGGCCCGCGCAGGCCGCTCAATAAAAAGTAATATGTAAAGGTATCTCATGTTAGATCTGGAGAGATTCGCAACCCTTAAGGGAATGCACTCCCGCGCAGGCAAAAGTGGCCACAGTAACACCCATCTGGAACCAACGTGGTAATGGTGCTGTGTTAGCGGTGTGGTGGTCGCTGTTCTGTGTTAGTGGTGTGGTGTGGTGTTGGTAATGTTGTGTTAGTGGTGTGGTGTTGGTAGTGGCGGGTTGTGCTGTATGCTGTGTTAGTGGTGGGGTGTTGGTAGTGGTGTGCTGCGTTAGTGGTGCGGTGCTGGTAGTGTTGTGTTAATGGTGTGGTGTTGGCAAGGTTGAGTTGTTAGTAGGTAGTAGTGTTGTGGTAGTGGCAGTGGTGCTGTGGTAGTGGTGTTGTGGTAGCGCTGTTGTGGTGTTGTGGTTGTGGTATTGTGGTAGCGGTGTTGTGGTGTTGTGGTAGCGGTGTTGTGGTGTTGTGGTACTGGTATTGTGGTAGTAGTGCTGTAGTGTGGTAGTACTATGGTGCTGTAGTGTTGGTGTTAGGTACTATCATTCATAGGGAGTACTAGTCCTACGGAGTACTAGCCGCAGGGAGTGCTAGCCCCAGGGAGTACCAGTCCTAGGAATTACTACCCCAAGGGCGTATTCGTCCAAGGGAGTATTCGTCCTAGGGAGTACTCGCACTACGGAGTACCAGCCCTAGGGAATACTAGTCCTAGGGAGTGCTAGTCCGAGGGAGTGCTAGGAAGTAGTGGCGCTAGGGAGTGCTAGCCCTAGGAAGTACTGGCGCTAGGGAGTGCTAGCCCTAGGGCGCTAGGGACGACGACGACGACGACGACGACGACGACGACGACGACAACGACGACGACGACCACGACGACGACGACGACGACGACGACGACGACGACGACGACGACGACGACGACGACGACGACGACGACGACGACGACGACGACGAGTAGTAGTAGTAGTAGTAGTAGTAGTAGTAGTAGTAGTAGTAGTAGTAGTAGTAGTAGTAGTAGTAGTAGTAGTAGTAGTAGTAGTCGTAGTAGTAGTAGTCGTAGTAGTAGTAGTAGTAGTAGTAGTAGTAGTAGTAGTAGTAGTAGTAGTAGTAGTAGTAGTAGTAGTAGTAGTAGTAGTAGTAGTAGTAGTAGTAGTAGTAGTAGTAGTAGTAGTAGTAGTAGTAGTAGTAGTAGTAGTAGTAGTAGTAGTAGTAGTAGTAGTAGTAGTAGTAAGTAGTAGTAGTAGTAGTAGTAGTAGTAGTAGTAGTAGTAGTAGTAGTAGTAGTAGTAGTAGTAGTAGTAGTAGTAGTAGTAGTAGTAGTAGTAGTAGTAGTAGTAGTAGTAGTAGTAGTAGTAGTAGTAGTAGTAGTAGTAGTAGTAGTAGTAGTAGAGTAGTAGTAGTAGTAGTAGTCGTAGTAGTAGTAGTAGTAGTAGTAGTAGTAGTAGTAGTAGTAGTAGTAGTAGTAGTAGTAGTAGTAGTAGTAGTAGTAGTAGTAGTAGTAGTAGTAGTAGTAGCAGTAGCAGTAGCAGTCGTAGCTCGGAGAGCCCAGGAGGCTCTTCCGAGAGCCCAGGAAGCGCTTCGGATGCCCCAAGAGGCTCTTCGGAGGCCCCACGGGGCTCTTCGGAGAGCCCAAGAGGCTCTTAGGCGGCTGCAAGAAGGTCTTCGGCGGCTCCAAGAGGCTCTTCGGAGAGCACCAGAAGCTCTTCCGAGAGGCTCTTCGATGAAGGGGGGGGGGCGGAGCCTTCTTGGACCCCCCCCCTTCACCGTGTTCGATAATTAATGCACTCCGGAGGACCCCTGGCCATACTAACACACACCGGGCCGCAGTAACAACCAACGGGCCGCGGTAACACCTTATCCCCCCACGCCCCGCTCCCCCTGGGGGTCGCCCTGGGGGAGGTAGACACCCCCAAAGATGAAGCCCCCTGGGGCGAAGGCATTGACCCACGCCAGCATGCACCTGTGGGGGGCGGGGGATGGGGCCTCTCAGAGAAGGGGGGAAGGCCGAGGTCAGCGCGGCTTCGGATTGCGATTCCAACCCAACTGGACAGTCCTCCAAGGTCGATCACGATCGAGGAAATGAGGATGCACTGCCAGCCGCGCGAGCGCATCATGGCGTCGACCTCCGCCCTCTCCTCGGCCTTCAACGCGAGCTCTTGGAGGCAGACAATCGAAGCACGGGTCTCCTCCCCCGGATACCGCTGGAAGGATGCGAGCGAGGCGCAATGGCACGTCTCGATCTGGATAGCATTGCGCTCGCCCACGCTGGCCGTGACAGGGGGCAAGCCAGGCTGATCAATCGGGCAGGCAAGCGGATCGGGCAAACTCCCTGCCATCTCCCTGCCGCGGGGATGGATGCGCTGAGGTGCGGCAGCCCCATCGGCCAACCTGTCAACAGGGCCGCCCATTTTCCAGCCCGGGCCCTGCCCGGGGCCAAGCCCCCGTCTAGGCGCCGCCGAAATCGTCGGAGTCGTCGGCACCCTGCAACGAACAAAGTCCTCATGTGATGCGCTGCACCGCCCCTCCAGCGATTCGCCCAACCAGGACGCCGCTCGGGGGGGGGACCTGCCTCGTCCGAGGGATTCGTCTGGAACGGCATCTCCACTTTCTCTGGGACGGAGAGTGCGGCGCCAATTGGCAAACCGACCGAAGCACTGGTGGCCGCCCCCGTCGAAGCTGCCGACGAAGCTGCCCCATGCACTCCAAGGGTGCCAATCTGTCGCTTGGACTGTGCTGGCGGCGGCGATGGCGGTCGGGTCCATGAATGTCCCATGAGAAACGGGTGGTCGTCATCTCCATGTAGCTGCTGATCTCTGTCAGTGTCGCGTACTTCCCCCCCCCCTGGAACTGCTGGCTGGTGCAGCGAGGGCCCCGTTGCCAGGCGGGTGTCCCAGGGGGGGGGGGGGCGGGTCAAACTGCAGACGGCCCCAGCCCGTTCCCGCCAAGAGGTATCTGGCTGCCTCCAACAGCATGTGCGGTCCTCGCACGGATATCGTCCTCCGCGAAGCCGACCTTGGATTTGGCGCTGCCAGGTGCTGGTGCTGCTGCGCAGGCACTGCCACGCCCTGCTGAGGCTGCAGGAGCCGCGCTGCTCGCTGCAGCGGCGGCTGCGCCTCCAACGCCTCATTCCGCTCCGTGGTGTACTCGTACTGGCTCGCCTCCTGATGGCTTGCCTTCTCCAACTCCGCCTGCCTCGCCGTCAGGGGGGTTGGCCCGAACACGTTTGCGCCCGAGGCGTTTCAGGTGGGCAGTGCGATCCGCCTTGATGCTCCCGACCTTGGCCATGGCTTCGCGGAACTTATCCTTCGTGGCTGCTTGCATGTTGATGCGAAGCTGCTCCCTCCTCTCCTCCAAGTGTTTGACGTGCTCTCGAGTTATCCCAAATTCGCCGCCAATCTTGGAGAAACCATCGGTATCGATGAGAGCTGTTGAATCCGACTTGTCGTCGGCGACGTCTGTGAGAGGAACCTTCCCACCTGCTGCGCGCCGCTCACAATCACCATCCTCACAGACTCCATCCTTCCTGGCTCTCCCTGCAAGCTCCGATACGATGGTGGCATACTCCGCGTCCGCCTCGGCCAATGCCGTCTCCAACTGCTTGGCGCACGCGGACTGGGTCTTGACCCAAACCTGGTATGTATCCAGGTTGCCCACCTCATCTCGGAGAGCCTCCTCGAACTTCTGCACGCGAACGTGGACTCTTGGGCTCATCTCGGAGAGCCTCGAGCTGCGCCAAGTACTTTCGTGCTGTGGTCTAGTCGCCCCACTTCTTTGCCAGTTAGATGCCAATCTCAAGCTCCTCGCCGGTTGGACCGTCTCCACCTTTGCCGCGCCCCCACGACTCCGGCTCGCCTGAGAGACGATCACGCGCTTGTCACGCAGGTGCCCGAGAACCCCCCCGAGCACGACGACCACCACTAGGAACCAGACGAAGGGCGAGCTCATCCGCATCAGTCGGGGCTTCGGCCTTCCACTCGAGGCAATGCTTGCAGTAGTCGAGCGACACCAGGTTCTTCTTGCAGCCACAGTACGCGCATGTCCACATTCCCTCAGCGCGAGGTCCTCTGGAGGCGCCACGGCGAGGGGTCTTGCCGCCCCTCGTGCTGCCGAGCTCGGGTCCGCGGCCTTTGCCTTTCCATGCTGTTTCTTTGCCTCCGCCTTCCCGCCACGGGGGGCCCATGGCTGCGAGAGTGGCAGAATGGATGCACAAAACTGCTGATGCCAAGCACCACTCACTGTATACGGAAATGGAATATGTAGGCAGCTGGGCTGCGGATACGGAAGGGTCTGCTCCCGAGGCAAAGCCGCCTTCGTGAAGCAGCCCGTGGGCGAAGCGGGTTGACTCGACCACCTCGACGACATGGCAACTTGAGCCAAAATGGCTACGGACCCCTCCTCCTCCTCCTCCTCCTCTCCTCCTACTCCTCCCTCTCCCTCATCGTCCTCCTCCTCCTCCCCTCTCCTACTCCTCCTCTCATTCATCATCATCACAGCATCTAGCCATCAGCATCATCATCATCATCATCATCATCTCATTCATCATCATCTCAATCATCCCCAATCCATCATCATCATTTCATCATCATAAATATCCTCATCATCGATCTTAGTAATCATCATCTATCCTCATCATTTCCATCATTCATGATCATAATCCTCATCATTCGCATCATCATCATCAATCAGCCATCATCACATCATCATCATCAATCATCACATCATCAGCCATGCGTAGCAGCAGCAAGAAGCATCATCTTTAATCATCATCTCATCATCATCATCATCATCATGCATCATCATAATCATCATATCATCATCATCATATCATCATCATCATCATATCATCATCATCATCATCAGCATCAATAATCTTCCTCCTCAACCCCCTCCTCCTCCCCTCCCCCCCTCCTCCTCCTCCTCCTCCTCCTCCTCCCTCCCTCCTCCTTGTCCTCCTCCCCCACTCCCGCTCCTCTCCTCCTCCTCCGCCTCATCCCCTCCCTCCGACTCCTCATTCCTGCCTCCTCCTCTCTCCCCTCCTCCCCTCCTCCTCCTCCTCCTCCTCCTCCTCACTCCTCCTCCCTCTCAGGCCTCCTCCTCCTCCTCCGTCCTCCTTCTTTCTCCTCCTCCCACTCCCGCGCCGCCCCATCCTCCTCTCCTCCTCCTACTCCTCCTCCTCCTCCTCCTCCTCCTCGCCTCCTCATCCCTCTTCATTCCTCCTCCGCATCTCCTACTACTCATCCTCGCATTCATCCTCCGCAGCCCCTGGTAAGTTGCCTTCTGGCCCTCCTCCTCAGCCTCCTCCTCCCTTTCGCTCCTCCTCCTTCTCTCCCACTCCCGCTCCTCCTCATCCTCCCCCTGCCTCCTCCTCCTACTCTTCCTCCTCCTCCTCCTCCTCCGCCTCCTCCTCGTGGGCCGCATCCTCCTCCTCCTCCTCCTCCTCCTCCTGCTCCTTCCCCTCCTCCTCCTCAATATGCATACGAGTATGTTTAGCCTTAGTGTTAATAGTAGTAGTTGGATTCGCCCTCGTTTTGTTATTATTACTCGTAATAGTACATGATTACCCGGAATGGAATTATTAGTAATACGACTTACATTGCGAATGCTAACATTAGTAGCATGTTTAGTATTATTAGTGTTAAAACGATTATCGATAAGAATATTCATACTACTATAAATAGTAATATTGTTGTTATAATGTTTCGTGTGTTCTTACTTCTCGTCCTCCTCCTCCTCCTCGACGATCCGATGTCTTTTGAGTCAACCACTCCCCCCAGGACCGCGGCTTTCCCATCCCGAGTCTGCCCGAAGTCGCCACGAAGTCTGCAACAACGGCCGACATGGGTATACTAGAAAACTGGCACGGTGCCCAGCAACAGGCAGGGTCCGAAACCGACAGCCGCCGCTCTCGGGCAAGCGACGGCTTGTCTCAGATGGACAACGCCCGCGGCAACACGGACAGCGAATCCTCTTATTCAAACTGGATCGGAAATAGTTGTCTGTCCCCGTGGCTTCTGTCCCCATTTGGATCGTGGAATCGGCGATACATCGCCGATACATCAACGATAGATCCCCGATAGCGAATCCCAGCGCTCCTGGGCGGGGTGGAACTATAGACCCCTTATCGGCGATCAATGTGCGATTGGGGACCGGTGCATTCCCCCCTGAGCCTATCCCCCCGATCGTTGTCCCTGACCAGAGAAACAACCCACCTGCCCTGCTGTGCTTTCTGGCCACGCAGAACTTCAGCGCGGGGCCAGCAGCGGAAACGAGCGCCACAAGAGGACCACAGAGGAAAAACAAAACAACTGCCGTCCGAAAACGTAGATACTCGATCTTTGAGACGCCAAGTCGGGGTCTGCTTCCTCCCCGACGCGCGCTCCTGTTCAAGGCGCTCCCACTCCTCCTCCTCCTGCTTTCGCCTCGCATCCTCACGGAACTGGCGGAGCCTCTGCTGGTTCTTCATCCGCAACTGCCGCTTGAGGTCCGCTCCCCGGCGCCGCACCCGGCTGATCCTAAACAAGTGGACGACTTGTTGCTGCGACTCTGCCTCCTCCTCCTGCTGCTCATCATCACCATCATCATCATCCTCCTCCTCGTCGTCGTCGTCGTCGTCCGCCGCCTCCTCCTCCTCCTGCTCCCCCTCCTCCTCATCCTCCTCCATATGTCCTCCTCCTCCTCTTCCTCGATCCACCGCCCATCGCCCCCTCCCGTGGCCTCCTCCCCCCTTCCCTCCCACCGCATCCTCCTCCTGCAGCCCCTGGGCTGGGAGCTGCCGCGAACGGCAGAGGGCTTCGGCCGTGGCCTGCCTCGCTTCAGCACGTCGAGCCCTGCGCGCGGCGCGCGCAGGCGCCGCCCCCAGTTGGATGTGCTCGCGCCCCGCCTGCCGCTCCCGACCCGCCCAACTCTGGGCCACGCCATACGGTCAAGACCCACAGTAAGGATGCGCGATGGAAGGATGCTCGCCCCTTGAGCGCCCATGTCGAAGCGTTTCGAACGGGGCTGACCATCGAGAGCAGTTGAGGACGGACCACAGAGGCAAGTATGCATGGGTGCCCTTTGCGAGGTGGCCCATCCTTGTCATCGTTTCGATTGTACCCGCGTCTTCGATACAGTCCAACAATGGGAGAAGAGAACATTCATGAATGGGCATGGGGAGACACAGACAACTATGCACAGATTCTAGGATCCCCCATATGTTCCCACGTTCTCTGGGTGTTCGTCTCCCCTCCACTTCCCAAACGTTCCCGTCGTTTCCAGGGAATCTGCGCTTAGTTGCGTATGCGCCTATTCCCCCCTCCTGAGTTCAATAGCAAGCAGGTCGGAACGAAGAGAGGCGACACCAACACCAGCGCGAGGCGCCAGGGAGGGCGCCCTCCTGGTGTCGTGGCCCCCTCCTCTCGCGCGGAGCACTCCCTCTACCCGGCTCGGGGAGGCACCGTGGACTCCCCCGCTGGAGGTGCCACCCCCCCCTGGTGGGCGCGGCGGTGGCGCCCCTCGCCACTCCGACGCAGGGCAGCGAGCCCAGGCCCAGCGAACTTCGCACGGACGGTCCGACCCTCCCCCGGCCAGGAGGCCCCCAGAGCCTCCGCAGGGAATCCAGGTCCTCACCGAGAGCACAGGTCGATGATCCTGAGAGAACGAGTCTTCGCGCCAGCGTGTGCTTGTCCACCGCATCCCTTCAGTACGTCGAAGGCGGCGCAGCGAGGGCCGACACAGGCCGCGTGCGATCGGCGTAGCTGGCCGGGGGAAATCACAGTTACAACCACACACACGCACGCACGCACGCACGCACGCACGCACGCGCGCACGCACGCACGCACGCACGCACGCACGCACTCACGCACGCACGCGCACACAACACACAACACACAACACACAACTCACGACACACACCACACACACGCACGCGCACACACACACACACGCACGCGCACACACACACACACACACACACACACACACACACACACACACACACGCACGCACACACGCACGCACGCACGCACGCACGCACGCACGCACTCACGCACGCACGCACGCACGCACGCACACACACGCGCACATTTGGCTAACTAACATGCGTACTGATGACTGTCTGGAACAGCACGCTTTGAGAGCAGCTCTGGTCTGCACGTGCGCGCCGTGCGGGGTACTGCATGCTCGACTTCACCCTCGAGGGTGCCCCGCCCGTCCTTCCCCCGCCACTGCGGACCGCGGTCGCCAGCCCGACCGCGAAGGCCCCCGCCAGCGCGCCCGCATCTGGGGCCCATGCCCCCTGGCCTGGCGGCGGCAGTTCGGATGCGTCCATCCCCGATGCAGTCAGGCAGCCTCCGAACCCCAGCGGAAGAGGAGAAGGAGGAGGCAAGAGGAGAAGGATAGGATAGGGGAGGAGGAGGAGGAGGAGGAGGAGGAGGAGGAGAGGAGGAGCGGGAGTGGGAGGAAGAGGAGGAGGAAGAGGAGGAAGAGGAGGAGAGGGGGAGGAGGAGGAGGAGAAGACTAGGAGGAGAGAGAGGAGGAGGATGAGGGGGAGGAGGAGGAGGAGGAGGAAGGAGAGGAGGAGGATGAGGATGTGAGGAGGCGACATATGATGGGGAGGGGAGGAGGAGAGGAGAGGAGGAGGAGGAGAGGAGGGGGATGGATGATGGATGTGAATGATGAGATGATGATGATGATGATATGATGGTGATGATGATGATGATGATGATGATGATGATGATGATGATGATTGATTGATGAATGATGATGATAATGATGATGATGATGATGATGCTGATGATTGATGATGGCTGCTGATGATGATGAATTGTGGTGATGGTGAGTGATGATGATGGTGATTGATGATTATGATGGTGATGATGATGATGATGATGTGATGATGATGATGAAAATGATGATGATGAGGATGATGATGATGAATGATGATGATGATGATGAATGATGATGATGATGATGATGATGATGATGATGATGGTAATGATGATGATGAGGAGGAGGAGGAGGAGGAGGAGGGAAGAAGAAGAAGAAGAAGAGCGAGGAGAATCGATCCCCAAAAGGGCCCCTGTGACTGCATTGGATTCACACTCTCCCCCCCCTCCCTGCTGGCCCGGCGCGCACGAAAGGCGGCAATTCAAGGAGGGCTCCCCGCTCACGCCCCCGTAACAAAACGTTGGGCGCCTGGGTTACTGTCAGGAACGTTTGCTCACCGTGTCGCGGCGGCGACCACGGCGACGCGCTGGCCCCGCGAGCTAACAGCGCACCGCTCCGCCTTTGGGGATGGGAGGCCCCAATAAAGCTCGAGACGTTGACGACAGGGGACCTGGACGTGGCTGGCGTGTCGCGCTGAGGCTGGCGGCGCGACGCGCCAAGCGAACATTCCCGACAGAATCAGCCTTCAAGTCTCTCGGGGCCCGTGCGAGGGCGCGCGCACCTTTTCCGCAGAGCGCACTGTGACAGAGAGAAGACGAGGAGGAGGAGGAGGAGGAGGAGGAGGAGGAGGAGGAGGAGGAGGAGGAGGGGAGGAGGAGAGGAGGAGGAGGAGGAGGAGGGGGATGAGGAATGAGGAGGAGGAGGAGGAGGAGAAGGTGGAGGATGATGATGATGATGATGATGATGATGATGATGAGGAGGAGGAGGAGGAGGAGGAGGAGGAGGAGGAGGAGAAGGAAAAATCAATCGAACTGGCCAGGGCGCGCGCCCGCCACGCCCGCTTCAGGCCAAGCGCCTCCTCCCCACTCCCTCCTCGCCCTGGCCTGGCGGGGCCGTCGCGGGCCCCGCGGCGCCCTGGCGCACCGCCGGGGCCCGTGGCGGCTCCCGCCGCGGCGGCGGCGCGGAGCCGCCCGGAAGCAGCCAGCAGGGGCGCGCGGGCCCCTCCATCTGGCCGCGTCTCGGGCGCGGCGCCCGCCGGTCGATGAAGCTCGGCCTCGGGGGCGCCGCGATGTGTGCAGCCAAAATGGCTCCGCGCGGCACGGCGGCTCGGGAAAAGGGCAAACGGGACCTGGTCAGTGAACGCCCAGGATTGCGCAATGAACGCCAACTGTGAGGGTCGGGTCGGCTTTTCTTCTCGTGGGATGGGGCGGCGGGTGGCAAGGAGAGAGGGGGGCAGATCTGGCCAGGGGCGGCGCGGCGGTCGCAGGAGCGGCAGACAGCAGCGGGGTCACGCGTCAGGGCTGGGGCATCCTTGGGCCCCCGCCAGACGCGCTGTTCCCCTCCTCGCCCTGCTCCTCCTCCCCTCCTCCTCCTCCTCCTCCTCCTCCTCCTCCTCCTCCTTATCCTCCTCCTCCCCCTCCTCCTCCTCCTCCTCCTCCTCCTCCTCCTCCTCCTCCTCCTCCTCCTCCTCCCCCTCCTCCTCCTCCACATGATCATCATCAGCATCATCATCACAACCACCACAATCATCATCATCGTCATCGTCATCACATCATCATCATCATATCATCATCATCATCATCATCATCATCATCATCAGCATCATCATCATCAGCAGCATCATCAGCAGCATCATCAGCAGCAGCATCACCAGCAGCAGCATCATCATGTTCCTCCTCCTCCCCCTCGTCCTCTCCTCCACCTCCTCCTCCCCTGCTCCTCCCCCTCCTCCCCCTCCTCCTCCTGCTCCGCATCATCCTCCACCTCCACCTCCACCTTCTCCTCCTCCTCCTCCTCCTCCTCCTCCTCCTCCTCCTCTTCCTCCTCCTCCATTCATTTCCCTTGTAAATGAATCATCCCTGTCGCACCCCGAGGCCAATGTTTAGGGCGGGCGGGAGTTTCGCCTGAGACTTCCTCACCACTTATGACCCTGAAGCTTCCACGTTGACAACAGCTTCACATATGGAGGGCGGGTGGTTTTCAACATGTGGCCCTCGCCTTAGCACCGCGCACAGTCACCTTAAAAATTGCAAGAGTTTCACGGATTGAGGGCTGGCGGTCTTCAAAATGTGGCTCTCGCCTCAGCGCCGCGCCCACTCGTTTTAAACATTGCAGGAGCTTCATGGACTGAGGGCGGTTCCGTTTCAAAATTTGACTCTCGCCTGAACGCCGCCCACATTCGTTTTCAAAAATTCAAGAATTTCACGGAATCCCATGATCAACAAACCAGAATCGCGTTTTGGAAAGGTTCAGGATTACGAGGGTACAACAGATACGCTGATCCGCGGTGTTCAAATCCCAGGAATGGTGTTCTGGCGCGCTTATAGATCGTTAAGACGCAACAGCCAGGTTGATCCGTGGCGTCGGAATCCCGAGAACAATGTTTTGGCATGCTTCAGGGTCTTCAAACGATTGTCTTCCAATGAGGCAGTTCCCTCAGTGGATATGAACCGTTGTAATGGGCCTGTGAGGAGGGAGCTTGGAGGGAGGGTTTATTCCAACATCGGTGATGACTCTTGGGTTTCCACTGGTCAGCCTCCTCCTCCTCCTCCTCCGCCTACGGTGAGGGGATTGGATAAGGAACCATGAGGAAACCAGAGCCTCGGAGGCCCCGGAAATCCAATCGTGGATTGGCCATGGAGGTCACCGCCGCCCTCGTCAAATACAAAGAATCCTCAAGGGTCTGACGCCTCCTGGGCACATTCCTGAACCAACGCCCCCGCCGCATTCCTCATCCTCATCCTTGTTTCCACCTCCTCCTCGTCCCCGTCCTCGCCCTCTTCTTCTTCCTCCTCCTTCTCCTCCTCCTCCCTCCCCCTCCCCCTCC